ATTTGGCAAATCTTTCCAAATGACTTCTTATTGAAATTTTTAAAAAAGCCTGTACCTATGTTGTGGTGCGTTTCCATGGAAAACTGACAACTCAGAAAGCACTCTTCATAATTAAAAGAGTATTTGCTCCCCTAAAGAACTCAGAGTTTAAGTGAGGTGTAATTAAAATCCAAGAACATTTGTGCATTATGAAAATGGTTTAAGAGTTGTCTGTTAAGCAAAGGATATATTAGTTTGACTTCTAAAATATGTGTTCAACATACAATGTATACTCACTAGATATTGGATGAGGTACATACACTGGGTACTGATGTTCATTTTGGTTTATACTGAATTTAAATTAATGGCTTTGGAACATATTTAGCATTAGGCACTGTATATTTATTAGCTTAACATGTTTATTTCTTGTTTTCTAAAAGCATCTCACGCCCTTGAGGGCAGGGTACACTGTGTTTAACCCTCTCCCTATGCCCTGGGTCCACAGTACCTTGAACACAAGAAGGTGCTCAGCAAATGTTTGCTAATAATTAGAATGACGCTGAGTTTCAACTTTCTGAGATGTACCCTATCAAGCATGTGGCACTGAATTTTGTATGTATAAATGTTCAGAACATATGGGGGAAATGAATTATCTTTGTTTAAACATGCTTATTAATGCTTGCCATTTAATACTCTTTTTATTTTTTACTTATTTATTTTTTAAAATCCTCGATCCGAGGATATGTTTTTATTGGTGTGGGAGAGAGAGGAAGGAAAAGGGGGAGAGAGAGAGAGAGAGAGAGAGAGAGAGAGAGAGAGAGAGACATCAATATGAGAGAGAAACACTGATCAGTTGCCTTCTATATGCACCACGACTGGGGATTGAACCCGAAACCTGAGTGTACGTATACGCCCTGACCGGGAATTGAACCCCTACGACCTTCCAGTGTATGGGATGACACTTTAACCAAATGAGCCACACCAGCCAGGCTGATGCTTGCCATTTAAATTTAATTAGAACAAATGTTCTTAAGATTGCCATCTTCCTGTGAACTTATGGAACAAGGGCTTAAAAACAAAGACCGGAGAAGGGGAATATGCAGTTGAAGTCAACAAACTTTTCTAGAGCACTGACCTGGTGAAAGGCCTAGGGCCAGGTGCTGGAGGACGACCGAGGTAATAAGCAGCTAACAGTAACTGACCACTCACTATGTGCTCAACGCTGGAAGGAAGGCTCTGCATGCGCTGACTCACCTGCCTCGCACAACACTCAGCCTCATCAGGTTCTGCCATCTGAGGCTTTACAGTCTAGGACAGGCTTCCTCTTTTCCCCCTCTCTTCCCTGTGCTTTCCAGCCCCACCCCCACTCCCAAACTCAGGGAAGGGAGAGAGGTAAGAGAGAAAGAGGGAAAGAAGGAGAGAGAGGGAGGGGGAGGAACAGATCTGGCTTCTAAAGTTTGGCTTGATTCCAGTAGGAGGCAGACTATGCAACAATAGATCTGAATTTTTATCAAAATTATCTTCATAGGCTTTGGGACAGGGTGCCAATCTTCTTGAATGAACGCTCCGATAAATCTGTTTTGGTTTTCAAATTTCTTAACAAAACTCATTTTCATTTTTATCAGCATTTTAGTTTTGCTCCAATAAACCCCTTTCCCCTTGCAGATCCAGCTGATGAGGAGCAGTGAACAGCCTGCCCAGAATTACATTGTCGTTATAGCCGTCCTAGGGAACTCTAGCCAAAGATCCGTGGTAAATTATTAGGTATGGTGAAAAGCAAAAGCACAATGAAATATTCTTTATAAACAGAAGATCAGAGATATATTGACCAACTTTGATTTTTCAAAAAGAGTTAAACCCAAGGTATCACACACATCCTTACATAATACATTGTGCCTTCTCTAGAAACCAGCTCTCCCAGCTCCCCCTCAGAAACAGAACTGTGCACGTTAGTTTTTGTTCCAGGAGACAGATGAAGAGGAAAAGCCAACACTGGTGGACCAGACTCGAGCATCCTGTGGGGGCGGCCTCACCACGGACTTGGCACAGGCAGGAGGCTCCAAGAAGGATATTCCCCCTCGGATTTCCAAGAATGACTGGGCAGCTGCTGCTCAGTGCATCCAAGGCAAAACCTCAGTTTTAGCAAAAAGAAAATGGGCAAGGGATTCCTCAAAAGATAGAGAATTTTACTTCTAGTTCGGCATTTGGCAATTTCCCTGTCAGTGAATTAGAGCCACATTTTGAGAGGCCTGCTCACGGGTGCCTCACAGATGCAAATTTGTGCCTAAAATTAGTGCTGTGTCACCTAAGAAGATACCACTGAAAGATACCCTCAGGTTACAGGGCCTCCCCACTCCATCCCTGCTTCAGGTAGCAGTTTGAGGGGATCTGTCTTAGGCTGGGTCAAAAGACCAGATGGGAATTCTTGCTCTCAGGCTGTGTCCCCAACATGCAGGCAGAAAACAACAACAAGCCAGCAGCCTGCTTTTGGCAGGATCTTCAGGGCCCCTTAAAATAAAAGTTAGTCGCTTGCCTCTCCCTCTAATCAGTCCTGAGCTTTCCTCATAAGCCACATGCCACGTACTCCGGTCCATCTCATTTTGAAAGTATGGAAAAGACTTTGGATTCCTGGGGGCCTGGCATTTGAACTCCAGTTCTTTCATCTTTTCCCTCAGCACTCAGTATAGAGCATGCAGTGCTGTGCTCATTAATTCTACTGACCAAGTAACAAGCCTGGTGAAAGCTTCTAAAAGTTCAGGTCCCACTTCAGGCTCTTACCAGATGCCTGGGGAAAACTAAGAGAGGCCTGGGAAGATGGCTCTTCGGTCAAACTTCCAAGGAGGACCTTGTGGTGCCTGCAAGGGGGGGTCTTAGCGCCTCTGTGGATTCTACCGCAGAGCTCAGGGGCCCATACGCTTGCTGCCGTGGTCTGTAAGATCCCCTCTGTGAGCCTACGTTCTCAGTCATTATTCTGATCCTATCCTAAGCAGGCTATGAAACTATACACATCTCTTACTTGGGAAATTGATAGGTTGTTTAAAAAAATGTCACCCCTTCCCCTGCCAAGAAAAGTCAGAGGTTCAAATAAAAATTTCTCATTAACTCAGTTCTTTTCTCCTACACCTACCTTATTAAGGATGTTAAGGAGGCAAATTTCATGTAAACCTGCCTCTCATCCAGAAACTTCAAAAATGATGAAAGCTTTTTTGAGGAAAAATTTTTATATTTTATGGGAAGATTTCATTGAATTTAAGAAAACCACACTAAAACTTGCTCTTTTCTTCCAATAGATGAAGGTTTGCAGAATAGAAATGGTGTGAGGAAGGTGTTTTCCTCAAATAAGCAAATCCAAACCCAATAACCAAGCAGCCCTGAGACATCCGTATCATCTTAACAGCAGACATACAGTGACACATACATGGTAGGTTTGTTTTTCAGATAAAGAATATGTGGTTTCAAAAAGAGCGGCATGGAACCTTCTTTTATGCCAAACTTCTGAAAGACTTAAATTAATGGAATTTGAAGATGAAAGGAACATGTGCTAAGGCAGTGGTTCTCAAACTTCAGCATGCATCAGAATTCCCTGCAGGGCTTAAATCACAGATTGCTGGCTCTCACCTCCACCTCCCCAGGAGAGTTTCTGATTCAGTAGGTCTTGAGCAAGGCCTGAGAATTTACATTTCTATTAAGTTCCTGGGTGATGCTGATGTTGCTGGACCACACTTTTGAAAACACTGCTCTAAGGAAATTAAGCTCCCTCCTGATATGCCTGGACAGAGCAGCGTTTCCTTGTGACCACCATTTATTCATGCCTCTGCATTCTCTTCGAAAACTCTGGAGAAACAGAGCATTCAGACCACTTTGCAACCTTTACGACCTGACCATTTTAGACTCTTGATTTTGGTGTCTACCAACAATTAGCAAAGGTCACCTGTTTCTGGTCACCTGAATCTTTCTGTTAAAAAGCTTGGGATGATGCCCTGGCAGTTTTGCTCAGTGGTTAGAGTGTTGGCCTATGGACTGAAGGGTCCCAGGTTTGAGTCCAGTCAAAGGCAGCGTGCCTTGGTTGCAGGCTCGATCCCCAGCCCCTGTGCGGGCGCGTGCGGGAAGCAACCAACCAATGTGTCTCTTTCACATTGATGTTTCTCTCTCTCTCCCTTCCACTCTCTCTGAAAAGCAATGGAAAAAACATCCTCGAGTAAGGATTTAAAATAAAAAGAAAAGGCTTGGGAAAGGTGAGTGTTTTATTCACTGGTACATATGAGGAGACAGATCAAATCTATGTCATGCCTCTAATTGTCGTTTTTGGCAATGATGGCAATTGTGGCTCTTCCTGGGCCCTTTAGATGACGTTCTTCGAAGCCCTTAGACAAGCAGTCCCCTGGGCGTTGCCTATGTTTGAGTGAGCATGCCTCTGGCCTGCTTCTATAATAACAAGGGATTTACATATACCTGATTCAGGACAGAGTTTCACACCAGCATCTCAGATGAGACAGAGCACATGAACCAAGGTTCGTTCTGAGCTTCTCTCCTTTTTACAACTCAAGAGTGATGCCCCTTTCTTGGTACAAAATGGGCCAACCTTTGGGAGCAGGCTAGATGAGCTAAAGTTCACGGAAAAAAAGTTTAATTCTCCAGCACGCTGGCTCAGAGGCTAGAAAGCTTCCTTTGGGATTAAACAATTGTCATTAAGTACATCAACAGAAACTAGATTTTATCTATATTTCAGCATCTGTGGTGGCCGCCATCCTCTGGAAAAAGATTTTTATGGGAACAGGAAATATGCCTGAAAAAAGTATAAAGGTCCCCAGCCTTATGTATAAAGAAACAACCGGAACAATTTAAATGACTATGTTCCTAAGAAGTTTAAAGTTCTATTACTACAAGGCAGAGTCACTCAGAGATGAAAGTTTAGTGGGACTCAAAAGTGAGTTAAGCGGTCATTTCCCAATATGTATGCCCCATCTGGGATGAGGGAGATCAAGACGATACCTCATGGGGACGGGGGTTATCTGCGTTACCTGATTCATCCACTCTCATTTTTTTAGTAGGGCTGTCACAGTTCTCATCATCCGACATTTCCATCTCTTCTTCGCGGCGGATGCCCATGAGTTGCTCACTTTGAGCGTTCCGGAGCTCCTGAAAGTGAAGAACACACAGACGTCAGTCGCTTTTCCCAATGGTTTTTCAGTTATTATGGCTGATACATGAGCACTTAGAATCTGAAGTCTGTCCCTCCCAAACACTGCCCCACCTAATCTAGGAACAAGTTCTGAGGGGCACAGAGGGGGGGTGGAAAGAGGGATCCGGTGTCAGGCCTGGGATAAATTCCTGCTCACCAACGACTAGTCAAGGGCTCTTCAGCAAATTACCCAACCTCTCGAGTTTCAATTTCCGCATTTGTAGAAAAGGAGGTGATAACATGGACCTAGCGGGGCTGCTGTGAGGATCACACAGGAAGACCTGTCACCATGACTGGCACACACAAGGGGCTCAGAGCTAATGATCCTGAACACAAGCAAGCAAGGAAACTTTTCAAAGACCCTGTCTGCTACTAGCCCACTGCGTAGCTTTAGGGATGTTTCTTAATCTCTTTTAGCCTCCCTTTACTCACTGAACTATTGTGATGATCATAATTTTGAGAATAAAATAAGTTAATGCATGTAAGATACTTAGCGTCATGCTAGGCACTTGGTTCTCCAAGTTGAAAATGTCGACCACTTTTATTCTTCGTGCTGAGCAGTGCCCCTGCATGTGAGCACGTGCCCATGTGTGACCACACACACACACACACACACCCCATTCAGGGACAAAATAAAAACAGAGCCCTTCTTTCTCTAGTGTTTCATGTTATTGTGTAGAGTTTATTGTTTCTGTCGTGATGGTTGTTTAAGCATCACTTGAATATCTTAGGATTGTAGGTCATGTTCTCCGCCTATTACAGGAGTGACTGTAATAGCTTTTGCCAACTCACATATAAATGGGGAATAGTAGTAATAAAGGCTGTTTGAATGCAAGCGTGTATGGGAAAACTCATAAAAAGTAAAGAATTACATAATACCCTTTTTTACAACTGTGTCTAAAAATCAGGACACCGTAACCATTAATGTTAAATTACATTATTATTTGTATCAATCTCTATATTTGTGAGTCTTTGTCTATTCTGTTCTTTTACATATGCTGTCCTCAAAAACAAACAAAAACAGAAGAAGTGTTGTTTCCTTTTTTTACCTGATTTAAACTGTCTCTAAGTAAAAGTCAAATAATTAAAATAATTTCACTTTATAATAAACAAACCTTTGAGTAACAATAAAGCTGAATTACAACAACATATGAATAGCATGACTTTAGGCATAGCTCTAGGGCCCATTCAAAAGATGTGCACAGGTTAAGTTAGTCTGTGCTATAGGTTCTCTCAATTGTCTTCCCTGCTTCGCTCACAGATTTTCACTGTAGCAGGGTGGAAAGGAATGTATTTATTGCTGACAGTGTCTGCATGGTCAACTCTGAGCCCTGGGAATTACCACTGCAGAGGACAAAGAGGGGTCGGCAGAGAGGCAAGGTCCCTGGGACAGGGACACGCATCACAGGGCAGTCCTGAGAGGCCACCAGGCGGACGGCCCAGGCCTCCTTACTTGGCCATGCCACCCAGTAAAAAAAGAGGTGCCAATAACACCGTGGGTATCAGAGACAGATGTGACACGTGACTACTGAGGAAGTTTTTAGGTTGTGGACTGCTAATTTTTCTGACAAAGAGCCCAATTCCCAAAGAGGGGGCCTGAAAATACTTAAAACAAGGAAAAGTCAGGTGGAGAGAATAAATGAGGCTGAAAGAGCCTGTTGTTTAGTCCCAACAATTAATGGCAAACTGTCCTACGGTAGTTGTTCTTACGAGGAAGGGCGGCAGAAAGGAAAAAGATGGGAGGAAAAAAATAAGCTGAGGGTGTTTGCACAGGGTGCCTCTGGTTCAGCAGTAAATCACCAGTACACTCTAATAAATCTGTAAAGGTGTTGCGGATAATTAACAGATGCTGTACATGGGAACGCAGAAAAAAATCAAGCCAATTATCAAGCTTATATACAACTGAGAAATCATCCACAATGTTAAATTACCAACTGGTACTTAATCAATTAAGCGACATGGAGGAGAGAAAATCAAAGGTAATTTAGAATTCTATTTCCTGGTATATCAAAAGAGGTGGCGGGAGTGGCAGGGAGCCATAAAGACCCTTTCCAGGCGCACCTTTCATTTCTACCTCAGTAGGGAGCAAAGCGAGCAGGATTCCTGGGAACAGTGGAAGCCACGTGCCCTGCTTGGCAATGGAGGGGACAGCCCCAGCCCCAGCCCCAGCACAGGGGAGGCTAGGAGAAGGGGACCGAGCATGGCAGGAAGTGGGATTTAAATCAGTAATTGATATTTCCTGACACTCACCTACTAATGACAGCCTTTTTATGCACAGGTTTAATTCAGCTTCATGCCAGCTGCCTTTCTCTTAGTATTTCTTTTAATCATGTTTGGTTTTTACGTGAAGGAAAAAAACAATTCACAGCTTATTCCCAAATCTGACTCATAGTTTATGAATTCTGATTTGTGTTTCATAACCCTCAATTTGTATATTTCATCATAAACTAAGGCCTCCTTCCTCCTGAAAATCAGCCTTGACTCCGGTCTCCACTCAGTGTCTGGAGGAGCACTAGGGAAGCAATCTTTGTTTTTCTGGCCCCTGAAAAATTAAAAAGAAACCCCACCTCCTTCTTACAATCCTGAACAGAGGAGCAGAACAGCATCACTCACCAACCACCTTCTCAGGCATTTGTGAACAAAATGAAAAATGTCCTTCTTAACAATAAATTGCACTAGCACTTTAAGTGTCCCATTATTGTGAAGTCATTCGGCATTCACCATCATAACAGTGATACTAAAGGATTCATTTGGTATTCATGTGAATATTATATCTAGTGCTATTGGTATCCAACTGTAATTTAGCATTAGTTAATGGGCACTTAAAATGCTACCCAAATGATTGATATCACAGTACTTTGTGATTCTTCAAACTCTATATAAAACACTTATTTTGCAAGCAGAAGCCAAAATCATTAAATAAATAAACCTTACCTTCTATAAGTTTGAGATTTTGAAAGAGGGAAATATCATTTAGAGAACTTTGATATCAACATGCTAGAGATGGAGAGGCATCCACATGAAAAACATTCTTTCATTTAAAAAAAAAAAAGAAGCAAACAAAGACAGTATACTTACTGTTCAATTACAGGTTCAAAGCGTACACTACACTGTGGAATTAAAAATAACAGCCGGACGACCAATGGCTAATGACACATTCTGGCCCTTCTAGGTGGCAAAGAAGGTCAAGTTCTGGACTCTTTCCTTGGGGAAAATACTCACACTTCACACATGCATTGGTGCAGAGGGCAGAAGGGCAGTCTGGCCGCTCCCTCCCCTAGGGAGGTTGCTCTGGGAGAGGTGGGATATAACCTACTGGCCAGCACAGGGGACTAAGACATTGCTCACAATGAGGAGACGTGGATGAGAGGCATACCTCCATTTCTAGCCCAAAGAACAAACTGTCCACATTTATTTAAAACTGGTTTTCTATTTTATGGTGCACTTTACTTCATAATCATTAGGCAAAATGTCTTGCTTTCTTTCGGAGCTCTTGACTCTGAGTGGAAGAAGGCGTTCATCTCTCCCTTTGCAGGGGGAGAAGAGCACTCTGTCCTCTGAGCATGAAGTCAGCTGCTTTGCTGGGTAAGGAACAAAACTGAGCTGGACTTGGAGGTGACAACGAGACAGGACAATGGCAGGATGACTGCCCACTGTAACAAAAACCGTAATGGCTGCAGCCACACTATTCTCTGCCAATCCAGCTGTGTGATGGTGTTTAAAAAGTAATAATAAAATCACCAACCTCAGAATGTTTTCGCCAAATGTCTATGTTCTTGCGCTGAGCTTTCGAGAAATGGTCCCAAGCTTTTTGTCTGGTAGAAGCGTTGAAAACGGCCACAATCTGCTCAACTTTGGTGAACAAGGGAGTCAAACAAGACAAGTAATTTATGTTGTGATCACTATAGGGAAGCAAAGCAAAGACACTAGGAGTCTATGGATGATGTCACAGTAGAAATAACATCATCAATATCCATCCAATTTGTGCCTTTTGTACTTACATTTTAGCAAGGTTGGGGTGTCTCCCTTCAAGTCTGTCTCCATAACTTTAGGTTAAAACAAATTCTAAATATTGACTGGGAAAAGTTCATGGGTACCTGCTTCCAAGCATTCTTTACCTCACTGAAAAGTGACTTGGCATATCTATATACCTATATCTATAGACTACATGGGCACTGGTGTTGGCATTCAGGTATAGATATATAGATAATGTAACGCCTTGGTTGGGGAGTTTAGGCATGAAGTTGAGGTAGAGTGGCTGAATGAGGAAGAGCCAAATGTATATCCTTTTCTCTTTTGGTCTCCATCTCAAGGAGTCAAATGTAGCCTGCTGAAGATATTACTGTGTCCAAGTTCTGAGTTGGGGCAATGAGTAGTTGTGTGATATCTCCCCCTTAATCTTAGGGCTATTTGTACTCCTTGCTCCTTTCTCTTCCCCTGTTGCACCCAATCTAGTCCTCGGGCATGGAAGAGGAGTCATTGCCTCCACCTCAAGAGAGGCCAGAGCTCACCCACCCAGCCAACCAGCAGCTCTGGCATGCAGATCTTATTTTGATACCATATGGCACCCTCCATAACCATCACGACCACATACCATTCTCTGTTATTCCATTTTCACTTTCACAAGGCTCCCCTCCCTCTGGCTCCCAAACCCTCTAAAGTTCCAACTCTATCACTTTGACTTCATTTAGAACTATGGCTTGCAGGCATGGTTTATTGGAATGATAAATGTTGAGGGGTTGTAAACAAAGCTATACAGAGAAAGGGATGGGCTCTTAGTAGTAGATGTTATGGGGAGGGCCAACCAACTGCAGATTCAGTCTTTTTTGAACAGTTATTGATGTAGCAAGGATGAGATTAAGGGAATTATAGCACTGAATTACTATATGCTTAAACATAAACTTCTAAGTATTTAGTTAGAAAGGCATAGTTAAAATTAGCTTCTCATAGATGCTAACACTCTATCAAACATAAATTATTCATAAGTAATTTCCAAGGCTCTATTGTAAAAAAGGACATCCAAGCTCCTCCAAATATTCCAGGTGTCCAAAGAATGTCAAAAAGCAATAGGATAATCTGCACAGAACAGCACTTGGTGTTGCAATTTTAAAAATTAGTGCACAAAATAAACAAGTATATGATGGAGCATAGGAAGAAAGCAGATTCCATTCCATTCCCACATTGTAAATATCTTACAGTGCTAATAAGCAACTACTTCTCGATCTATGGGTAGTTTTCGCAGGGGCTTTTATGTTTACTGTTACTACCTCAAGAGAATTCCAACTCCAAACCCCCCTATCTATCAAACTTTATCATCATGTCACACAATGAATATATTGCACTCAGTTTTAACAGGAGGATTTGCTATCAGCTTATCTCACGCTCGTCTTGAGTGCCAGGGGCTTTCCTCTTCTGACCTCACCTGGAGGAAGTAAAATTGCCAAAATAGCCAGGCTGAGCTGCACTGAGGGCTGACTTCCACCTGACTACCAAGCTCCCAGGGCTCGGCGGCACTGCAGCAAGGCCGGCGGAGGAGATTGGTGCAGCCCATTGCCTGGGTTTCCTGTTGTTTTATCCGTATGCAGGCTGGGTTCACAGGGGGCTTCAAGCTGCCCTCTGCAGGAGCAACAAAGAGCAGTCAGCCCAAATGGCCACGGTAAAATCCACTGTCGGATGAGACTATCTGGCAGAGGTAGAGGTGGCAGTGACTGTGAGATTTTTAAAGAGAACGGGCCCCGTTGCTTTTAATAGTAGAGCTCTTCGACTGGCATCATTTAGAAGAATAAGAACAATGACGTCTGACACCCGGCCTGCGGGGAAGAGACTGTAAGAGTTGAGGTTGAGAATTTGGCTCATGATGGCCAAAATTCTGCCATCAATCTGGGAAGGCTGTTAATAGAGGAGATACACTAGAGAGAAAATTGTGTGTTCATATATGTGTGTGTAGAGTGGAGGGAAGCTAAGAGAGACCAGTAATGCACATGGAGGAGTACAGAAATGAAAGCACTTAGAAGACCCAATGGCCTAAAACTGCACATGTTCAAGAGTAAAACTGGATCCCCTAATATTTATTCAAGTCACATACTATTGCAGATATTCCCTGTTTGAGGTTAAGTGCCTCAGTTGCTTAGAACATGCTATTACCATATCCCAGGGCATAAGCTCAATTCATTCATTCAGCAAACAGCTGAGTCTACTGGTTACCAGGCACTTGACTGATTGCTGGAAATATATGATTAAGACACGTCCTTGATGAGGTTACAGTCTCTAGGGAAAAAGAAAGACAAGCAGGTAATTACCCTATGCAAGAGAGGTATGGATGACACCTATGGGGACACAGTAACTAATTCAGTAGGTGGAGTCAGGGAACATACCCAAAGAAGGCAATATTTTTGTCGAGTCTTAAATAGTGAATCAATACTTGCTCAGCTGAGAAGGCAGGATTGCCAGTTCAAGGCTGGCATGGAATGTGAAAGGACTTAGTCTGAACATAGGTGGCGAGGATGGGGCTAATAGTGGCTGGGAATGAATAAGGAAGGACCACATATGTCAAGTTAGATTGTGAACTTTATATTGTAGGCTTGAGGAGGCAGATCTGAGTAGGATCTGCTTGGGAGAAATGATGAAGGTTTGAAGGAGTCATTTGATAGGGCAAGTTGACACAGTGTGGCTCACTTGCTTTGAGGGAGGAGAGGAGGGGGACCAGGACGACTCAGGCTTGGGAAGTATATCAGAGCCCAAGAGGATGAGTGCGGGTGGAGGTCTGAGAAAGAAGATAAGGAATTTGTTCTTGGACATGCTGAACGGGAGATGCCTGAGGTCATCCAGATGGAGCTGAAATACATACTGGGGATTCCGAAAGAAGTCAGAATTCCAAGAGAGATGATGTCTTAAATTGTCTGGGCCTATTTCCATTTCATGTAATTGTATTCTTTTCAAGAGCAAATTAATTAAAAGCAAAACTAAATGTGATTAAATTTATACTTCTTTTCTTATTAAGTTTTATATTTTCCCCCCACATAGTAACAAATAAAAGAACCCCCAGAGAACAAAAGCTGTGTAACTCAGCTTAGATTTAAAAAGTACTCTCACAGTATTTCTATGGCCCACTTTACTTTTGTTTTGCAAATGAAAGTTCTTGGGCATACAAAAGGACTCAGAAAGAGTGCTTGGGTCAGCATGAATCCATCATCACTAGAGAAAAACCACCTCAGAGCCTATGCCCTAACGCATGTGATTCAAAGACAGCATATTTTAAAAACCATAAATGGGATGACCACTACAGTTGTCATCACAGGTAAAGACCATACACTCTTCACTGTCTCCAGCAGAGAACACCAAAAACATGTCCAAGAATTCGACTACAACTCACCACCTCTCCGGTATAATTTGTACTACTCGCTCATTCAATATACAATGAAGCTACAAGCAGTTACTAAGTGGGGTATCTGAAACTCTACTTAGAAGCTCAGAGAAGAGATAAATAGTACAGAGGATGGCACTGGCATTTGTTGAAAAATGTAGCTTTATAGAAAGTTGTGCTGCAGGCAGAACAAATTCAGATTCCCCAGTGCTTTCACCACCACTAGTGGTCTGCAGAGTGGTGGCTTAAGGCCCACATGAGCCTGTATCACTTAGTATACTAAAACATTCTGTATTATCAAGAGAGAGAGTTCTCAGTCAGAAAATTTAAATTTACCCTTCACATCTTGCAAATCTTTCTCCCCTAATTTTATGTTTTAAGTGTTTTATCTAAATTAAATTATTTGAGGATCATTAAAAAAAATTAGTGGTTGGCTTTTCAGAAATTTGCTTGAATGTCAGTCTCAGGTGTCATAATAGAGTCCCTCCTACATACCCAGTAGGTATCAATGAACATAAAGAACGGATAAACAGAGCTGTGATGAAATTGGTCACCACTCTTTGCAGCTGCAAACCTCTTAAAAGATAAACTGAGAGGGATTGGGTGGGGAGAGATTAATCAAAGAGCTTATATGCATACATGCATAACCCAGACATGGACACAGACAATAGTGTGGTGAAGGTCTGGGGGAGGGTGGATGCAGGGTGGAGGGGATCAATGGGGAGAAAAGGGGAGATATCTATAATACTTTCAACAATAAAGATAAATTTTGATTCGAATCCCTGCAAAAAGGGTTTCGAATCGAGCAGTGCCAAACTGGAAGTGGTTGGGAATGCTCCACTGACTGGAGCTGGGGAGTGGCTTTTATAGAGAAAAGGTAGAAGGAAGGCAATTATTGGTTGGCCATAGCTTAAAGTTAGCTGACTGCTTGTGATTGGTTGTCCCTAAGTTTCAGTTGTGTAACCTTGAGGCAGTGATAGGCTTAGATTTTGGTTTACTCACATCATCCACCACCACAGCCTTAGAGCTGCCCCAGGCCAATGGCTCCTTGTTTGATAAACGTAACACTTTACTAGCGGTTGGTTACTCACAATCTCCTTAAGTGAGGAGACATATACACCCACATGCACACATATCACATACACACATACATGTATATATTCTTCAAAATTTCAAAAAAATCCGTAAGACAGAGCAATTTAACACCTTTTTGTGTATTCCCCCAGCCCAAAATGTCTGGGTGTGTGCTGAGTTCAGAGCATACTCCTTACTTGAGAGAGGACTTTATAAATATTCTTGAGAAGAACTTGGCTTCAGTCTTCTCTGGGAAGGACAGCTCAGGACAGGACATCCATTTACTGAGGAACAGAACATTTTAAAAAGCTTCCTGGGAAGGAACAGGGCACCCAGCACAAAACCTCACATTTCTGGGCTCCACCACGCTCCTGCACCTTGAGCTCTGGGCCGAAAAGCATCAGAAGCAGCGGAA